TCAGTAATGCCACAGTGATCGTTTGATATATGGACCTGCAGCGGAGTTTAGGCCCAGACACGGCTAGTGACGTCAGACTGAACAATCGGATAGAATATTTTCCTGAAGGTCTCGGGAATCATCATGGCGGCTTTTGGCAAATGTTAGGTCAGCCTTTTTGTTCTTTTTTTCCTTCGAGTTCGGCCATGAGTGCCATTTTTGCCCAGCCCACTTCCTATTATTAAATCATAACCTTTAACTGAAGGAAGTGAGACCCACAGTTCTATGTTGTTCTGGGGTGTTTTGTGGCCTGTCATTGCATTCTTGGCTCATGTTTGTTACGCCACTCCTGAGAATGTTCGTCACCATTCTAGGTTTTACCCATTTGTGGATAATGTACTGTGTGTGGCTAGTGAAATTGAACTCATCTTCCAGAAACAAATGCAGTTAATTACAGTTAATACATCATTAAACAAAATGGTGCAATTACTTTTTCAGATAAGGCTCAGGAGAGTTGGAAAGCTTTTTTGCCCTAATAAATGCATTTTGTAACCTAATCTGAAGAATTTGTGTGAAACGTGCAAAAAAAAAAAAAAAAAAAAAAAAAAAAAAAACTGCGACCAAGGAGGCAGCAAATACTTTTTCATGGCACTGGAGCTGCTGCCAGTGTTGAATCAGGAAACATGAACTATGGTTCCAGACCAGACTAGTGTTGGTGGAAAACGGAAGCTGAATGAGTTACGATGGCACATTTATAACCACAGTTATTGGTCAGCTGCACTTGGGTGTGATCGAGTTCATACTGAAACCAGAGGATATGTGTCATCTGCTTTTCCACTGCAAGGAGCCGCAGATCGAAACGTGCTTAAGAGCCAGGAGGAAACCAAAGAACCACGATACACACACAGTTCATTTATTAGTTTGTGACAATGTACTGGGACATTTTCTGATACACCTCCTGTAGTCTTCATTACATGACATGTACAATGTCTGACAGCTCAGCAGCAGCATTTGCAGTCTGCCTATTACCACCTGTGCTCACATTTTAGCAACAGATATCAACCCTTCACTTATGTGTAACCTAAGGCCATGGAGCTCCACCTTAATGATGGACAATTTAGAACAAAGAGTTACGTACATGACAGTACTGTGCAAAAACTAAGCCACCGACCTGCCCACCCACCAAATTTCGCAAAACACAAAAGGTCCTTGAAAAGCATTCACAGATCACAGAGATCTGTATGCAAGGGGAGCTTAAATATCAACCATTTTCTGCAGGATTTACATTTACAGACTCACTCACATGCTAACGTTAGCTGGGGAAGGACACTATCAAAGAAAATGTTGTACTTCTTTGTGCTTTTATTGTAAACCTGGTGACTTGGGCAATGGACATTTTATAATGCGGCAAAGAAATCCTGTACAGAGGACTCAACTCGATGCCAAGAAAATGAGAATACAAATGCATAGAAACCGAACATTTTTAAACTGAAACCAAACATAACTGCATACTCCATCATTATGACCACATCACACTCTTTCACCGCCTGTTTTGGAGGACAGGAAGTTGATTTTCCAAGCACATTAAAAAAGCCCAACCTTGTCTACGTTTTAATTTTGTCTTCAGCACAAAGAACAGGGACACAATCCTTGGAATTAATTCAGTAGTTTGGTTAATTTCTATAATAAATTAAGTACTCTGCTCCCGCTCCACAGAGACAGTGGCTTTCATTACAAATAACTGCAGTGGTAAAGAGGATGCACATAAAGCAAATCAGATACTTTACATTCACATAATTACAACTGCATGTGGTCCTCTTGTCTCAGGTCTGATTAGGAAGTGCAAATGTCTCGTGTGTATTTATGGTTTGTTAACTGGTTTACTTGTGCTTTGGCCAATAATGTGACATCTCACTGAATAAGAAGTCAAGACCTTAACAACAAAACTCTACCACAGCCCATTACATCAGCACACACTGCACTTCCTTTAGTCATGTCTGTGTTGGTGGTAAACACTGGTTAACAGAGCCCTTATGCTGCCTGACAAAACAAACAGATTTCACAAAGTCACCGGACAGTGAATCCACCGAGCTACTGATCTCATTTTTCTCAGGAAACGTCTGTACAGAGACGACTCAAGGCCCGTCTGAGAACAGGCCTCTGGTACGTGTGCAGAATAAATCGTAAGTTAGCAGTCCAAAGTCTGATGTCCATCTCTGGCAGTCTTAAAATCACATATCTGTTTCTGCAACAGTTCTTCTGCAGCAGTTTTGACAGAGAGGCATATGGCAGCATTTCTGAAGGATTCGGAAGTCCTCTCTCCTCCGTCCTGCAGCGTGGCGTTACAGTAATCAGGTGTGAGCAGTCCTGCAGTCTCTCTCAGGCTCATTCCAATCACCGCACCCAAAGTTAAGGAAGAAGGTGCGTGTATCGCAAATTTAAAACCAGACCTTGATAAAGTTTCTGAACCGTAACGATGAATCCACCATCCATTGCCTTCGATGTCCCGTTACAACGCCCCTGTGCATTCCACCGCCCTCTGTCGTCTTTCCTCAGTCCTGCTTGTCCATACCACAAAAAACCCTTCATTCTTCCAGTCCTTTCCCAGATGTAATCCTGTCCAGCAGGCCAACTGAGGAAATTGTGCACACACAAATAGACAAACACTTACGTACACCCACACAGAATTCATTGTACATCTTTAACATAATCACTGCTTTTATAATCGCCATCTTACTAATCCAGGATACAGCAAAGATGGAAGTGTTGTGTGTATTTTCATTTTTATGCATAATTCATGTCCGTGTTTGTGTGAGCGTATACATGTGTTTGTGCGTGTCCGGTTTAGTCCAAAGGGGTTTCGTGTCAGTTGGTCTCGTAGGAGGAAAGCAGTGCAGCATCCACAGGCTCCATGCACGAGGGGCAGGTGAAGGATCTCATCAGCCAGTCATCGATACAGTCCATGTGGTAGATGTGCATGCAGGGCAGGAACCGGATCGGGTCTCCGTAGACAAAGTCCATCATACAGATGACACACCTGCAATGGTGAACAACATTTGTCTTATTAAAAACACACTAGTCACTGGTTGAACAGCACAACTACACAGGAAATAACAAAACAAGTAAAAAATAAAAAATACACAGACAGACCTTCAACTATGATAAATGATTACTTCTTAATTTAAAGGCACATCCCTGGAATTTGGAATAAAATAAAATGCAGAATAAATAATATGACATTTTTGAGATAAAAAAATAATTATTTAATTCAAAACATTTGATCTAAAAGATTCATCTCTCAGTCAGAACATGCTATATCAGGTGGAAGCTAGCGAGCTAACTTCCTGCTAACTTCTAACTCAGTTAAATGTAATAAATCCTGTTTTCATGGATGCCTGGATGTTAAACTTCATTGTTACACCTGGTAAAGCAGCAACGCTGATCATTTTATTAAAGATGAAAGACTTTACTCAGTTTAAACTCTCAGTGTTTGTTTGACTTTGGGACCTGAAGTTGACAGAGCTCCAGATCCAGGTGACCGCAAGTCAAAATGTCAACCTGTCCATGTCCCGCAGCAGCCTGGATTCAGTTTGAATATTGCTATGAACTGATAATGATCGGTTTATGCCTTTTATTCACTGTAACATATAACTTTTGGGTGACGGCACAAAGACAGAGGAGGACAGAGAGCAAAAGGAAACAGGTAAGAGTGGACATGTGATCAAATTCACCAAAAATGATAAAGCTGCAGCTTCTGTTTCACCCACATTCACTGATTCATTCATTCATTCGAGATAACTAAGCAGTGTGCTGTACTGTTGTCGATGCTCTTATAATAATTATTATAAGATTATATCTTTGTCATTTTCTAGTTTCTAGTCAAGTGAGGAGGATGGAGAGAGAGGATCTACTGCAGTGTCTGTTCTTAGACGCTACAATAGGTCATCCAACTGCTGTATTTTTCAGACTAAGGCACACTTAAAATCCTTTAATTTCCTCAAAAATTGACAGTGCGCCTTATGGTCCAAAAAATACGGTAATTATGTTGCTTTTGAAGGTAAAACTAATGTTTATCCAACTGAATTGAGGTTTGCAAATGTCAAAAGGGCTGATTACAGTTGCAAACAGCACATTGCATTAATATTAATTACAAGGCACTGCTGAGATTATGATTGGCAGCTGAGCCCCCCTAAAAGTTTGAAACTGGAACTGCCCCTGATAATAATTACAGGACAGTCTGGGCAATGAGAGCGCGTTCTGTCATTTTACACGTATTCTTACAATTTAAATACTCGCGCTGACAGGCTTATTTAGTTTACTATAGACGCATTTCTTTATCACGTAGAAAAACAGAGACATACTGTTGAAATTGCAGTTATCATATTCAGATATCTAAATGTGTAGTAAGACTTCTTTACACTGGGTGCCACTTTAACTAAGGCGACCACATGCCACACAGCTGGAATGCAGCGGCCAGATTTGAGTCCAACCCACAACCACTCGCTGCATGACTTCCTCTCGCTCTCTCCCAGCGTTGCTGTAATTTGACTGCTGCACTAACCAATGACAGAAAAAAACTCCTTTGCACAGACAGAAAGGAGAGTTTTACTCATCCAACCCACCTAAAATCAAAGTGGGCGGCTCCCCCCAAAAATATCAAGGTTTGTGCTGTACTGTAACTACACATCTCTGTATCAAAGCAATGTTTTCATGCTAATAACAAGAATTTATTATATTCTGAATTTTACTGGAATGTGCCAACATGAAGCTGTGTGGAAAACCAAGCAGTAACTCAGTGAATAAACTCCTGTTTGAAACGTATGTAACTCTTGAATTCTGCAGTGAAGCAGTATTCGTGTTTGCCCACTCAGAGCTTCTACTCACTCTCTGATCTTCTTCTCGGATCCATCCCTTCCCGGGTCATACACGCCCTTTGGGAGGTGCTGGATAAGCCCGATGCGTTGAGCGATTCGGATCTGCTCCTCTTCGGTCAGCTGAGTGACCAGTCGGGTTTGGCTGGGCGTCGGATGGTAGACAGGCACATGGATTTGCTCCTGCAGAAAGGAAAGAGACAACATAAAGAGGCTTAACATTGTTGAGTAAGTCTACTTTACAAAATCTGTAACATGAAAGCTGTGGCAGGGGAAGAATTGATGAGAAACACTAAGTACAAACGTCTGAAAAATACACCTCAAAGTTGGCCTTTAAAAAAAAAAGAAAAGAAAAGTATTGTTTGAGAGGATATCGTCACCGAATCTCTCAGCAGGCTATATCTGTGCTGGATTTACTTTAACAAAGGAAGATTTGGGCCTTCTCACTTTCAAAAAGAAAGAAGAAAAACTCCTGATTATGGCACAAACTTATTATGTGAGCCGGGACATAAAAATAAACTCTGCCAGTACAACACTGATGAGGCTTATCACATAAAATCCCTCAGAGCTTAACAAGCAGACTGGTTCATTCGCTTTAGTCCTCCACAAAATCAAAGTACTCGAGTGCAACAATCTCACAATCCAACAAAGTCTCCTAATATATAACTGTCAGTGTCGAGAAGCCGGCCCAAAATAAGACTCACATCCTCACAGTATCCATCGTCAGTATCTAAAGCAGTCTATTAGGCCTGGATGTCTAGACATGCTGTAAGCTAATGATTTCAGGCAGTAGATTGTAGTGTTTCCCCACACCCATAAGCCACTGCAGCCCATACCAACATGCGATGGGAAATCTTACTGTTGTTCTAGTTCACGTCATTAAAAGTAACTTTATTTATTTAACAGTATTTCTAACTGATGCACATTTGCCTAACAAATAAGGATCCCAGCAGGAAACAAACCCATTTGGGTTTTGAGCATTAACAGTTTTTTTAATGCCAATTTAAAGCAGCTCATATTTCTAGCTCAATAATTTTCTGACTCAAACATCAAAGCAGCCTCAGTCGAGAGAAGTGTGAAATGAAAAGTCTGTCATTATGTCTGGGATGGGTTTCTTTTCTTGTCTTTGGTTTTTTTAAACACTGGCCTGGAAAACCACATAAGTGAAAGATTAATGTGTCATCAAAGTAACAGCGAGTCAAAGTGAACGGGTTTCAGTATTAAAGAGTCAAAGCAAACATGAGAGGCACAATATCGTCACACCAAAGCATGCACTGTATTCTGACTGTCCTTACAGTGTAATATAATGTTATTTTCTGACAGTGATGTTACTTCATTTCCTGTTCCAGCGTCAGTCACATCAAACTACGAGCTGCACACAATCACGTTTGTGTAGACTGAGAAACCCTCAGCATACCTGAATACCTCCACAAACAGACACAACCACAGTACCATAAATTCACCATTAGAAGCTCGGAGCAGACCCGAGTTAGCCATCTGAATGTGCCAGGTTCAGAGTGACAACACTCCTGAACTCTGAGGTATCTGAAACGCAGCATAACCGTGCAGCCTTCTTACTCAGCTCTGAGTTTATCCTGACAACACAATATTTCAGAAAATATTTATATAAAGACTTTCAAGCTTTAAACCAAACCAACCAGCCACAAAGCAAATCACGGCCAGAACAAAATGTGTTCAGGATCAAAAACTAAAACAAAACAAAAAAACCTCTGAAAATCCTTTTTATTGCTGCAGTGTTGTTAAAACTGAACAGAAAGAGATTTTGTAGTTCGTGTTGTGTGTGTGTATGTAAATGATAGCTTAGTTATCAGTACTGTACAGTTGTTCCTGACCTCAATCACCGCTCTACCAGTTTCTGACATTTGCATGGTAACAGCGATCTCCACCAATCAGGAATATCGCTGTTTAAATTCAGGATTGTGGGTAGTGTAGTGTCTTTCTGTCACAATGTGAATCAAACAAACCACGATTGGTATCATACAAAGCTGTGGTTTCTACGGGTTTCACAGTTTTGTCCTTCATGCTTCATGACTTTCTTAATGACATTGCCCACTGTGCTGTCTATTTCTTTTCATATGTAGTCCACCCAATTAAAACCACAGCTGGAAAGTGGACGACAACATATTCGATTAAACAGATGATGCCTGGAAAAGGCCTCTGTAAGAAGTCAAAGAAGTGTCAAAGGTATTGTAACTGTACCTTCAGGGGCGAGATTGCTTTTTTGTTTTGTGTTTAAGCATGAGAGGTAACACACAGACACACACAAGCAGTCTACTTTTTAATTTGTTTGAAATGCTATCTTTTAAAGCTAAAGAGTTTTAATGGGACAGATGGAGATGCTAGCTAGCCTCTCAGTCTCTCAGCAACATTTAACCCATGAGTCAGCATAATTTTAGCAGTCGAGGCTGTCTGTTCCTACTCTGACAGCCATTTTTTTTAGCCAACTCTAAAAGCCAGGCAGCGATAATAAAAGCTGCAGACGGGGCCTCTTGGGGAGGGGGGGGGAGCAGCAGCTGCACTGTGTGTGTTTAGGGTCCTCAACTGTGCAATGGTCAGCAGTGTAATTGTTGTCATATGTCAGCTGGGCTGACAACTGTTTATTAAGTGACCTCAGTGGTACCAAAAGGGTGAAAGGGGAACTAATGAGGGGGGTGGACCTTGGTTCTCTCTGCCAAGCATGCTGTAGGTTGCTGAGCCAAGCACACAGCAGCTACAGCCGCGACTGTCAGCCTGCCAGGCTCAGGCTGCTAATGGTGAGCGGGAATCAAGGTGATGGTAGCAAGTAGGTGAAGCAGATGCACACAATAAGTGGAAGGTTTCCGAAAGAAATCAGCTGGGGGGGGACTATCTGCATCCTGCATCAAGCTGTAAGGGAAGCAACACCTGAAACATGAAGCGTTCGCAGTCTCTGAAATCTTAGCTCTTCTTCTGAGCCCTGCAAAGTAACAAAATCTCTGAACGAGACCTGCAGACACTTGCACACAACGCAGGGCAGCATGCACACCGGCAGCAAGAACAATAACGGGGGCCGAATGATGCGCGTTAGCATCACAGGATGTGTTTTGTGGTGCGATAACAGGACAAGACTCAAAGTGTGCCAACACCGGTAAATGACCTCATCAAAGCAGGAAGTTGATCCACCGATGATATTATAACTAATATTAAACACATCCCCAAAAAAGAAAAAGAAAAACCTGGATGTTAATTATTATAAATGATGTCCCCATTAGTGTAAAAAAGGGATGAAAAAGCAGTTTCTCTGCAAAAACTGCCCCAGTCAGCTTGACACGTCTGGTTTCTAAAGACAAGCACGTTCAAGGCAAAAATACTCAGCTTGAGGCTTTAATAGGTGATGTCATGTTGGCGACACCCAACTTTAAACACATAGTTTGTACCACAATTTAAAGTCCTGCATGAACATTAGTTATCCCTCTGTAATATACTAATCAAACCCCCCGAGCCATCTGATCATCATTACTTGTAGCTCGGCTCTCAGTTTTCAGTCCGAGGAAAATGAGAACTAAACTTTTGGATGAAGTTGTGAAGAGAACAAAAGAATTTACTTGTAGCTGAGTCAGGGCTCTGTGATAAGCTCTGTGTTGGAGGCAAAGCCCACGTCTATGTCACTGACCTGCAGTACAATAACACGCTTGTCAGCGCGGTTTTCTCCACGCCCCCAATGTTTCTGTAACCATATTAGGACAAAATGTAGGTAATCAGAGGCTCCTCCAGTGGGGTTTATTGCCGCCTTCCTTACAAGGCTAAAGATCAACATCATGTAAGAATGAAGTAATGTAACCCTTACCTTTGATTAAGGCCGAGGACCTAAAGTTCAGCTCATTACCATTATCTGGACACAATGAAGAAGTTACAGTTTTTCCCGTTTTCCTCGACTGCGACACATGCACACTTTCTTAGCATGTTTGTGAATGTAGTCTGGGACATTACAATATACTTTCAAAAATAAATAAATAAATATACAATATTCTATTACATGCACCGAAATCATTCAGAAAAATACTTTTCAGTTTTCATTTCTTATTTTTTCTCGGCTCCATCACATTTGAAGGCCAATTAGAAAGTGCCACCAAAGCAACCTGGCTGAGCACACTGTGTTCAAAGCAAACTGCTGGCGAGCCCTCTCATCCCAACAGTAATGCAGCTGGTTGATAGACTGTGCTCCTCTTGTGTATCTACTACAGTGAGAGAGCATATTAAAACCTCATCAGGAGAAACTTTATGACTGGTTCTTATGTGACATGTTTCCGATCCTCTTTGACCCTCCTGTGCTGACAGACTGAAGACAGAAATATCACCTGTATTCGATTTGCAGACAGATGGGTGACAAATTAAAACCTGAGATCGTTGACATCATTTTATACAAAAAACACTAAAATTGATCATAACTCCAACAACAAAGAGTGAAAATTTCAAAGTCTGCAAAGTGTCTCAGCCAATAAGATTTAGCTATGAAACAAGCTGAAAGTAGAATATAGGCCAGACTAAATGTGATCAATAAAAACACTTGTCACTGCTTCTATCAGGATACTCTGGTGTTACAGCCAAGAGTGAACACACATATGCACGCGCCCCCCCCCCTCTAAAACACACAGGGGTGCCTTATCTCCTGTGGTCCAGACCGAGATGAGTCAGCTCCTGTCTCGCCAGCTGCTGTCCAAATCACCACAGTCGACACACACACCGTCTGCTATACGCTCATCTGCACAAAAATACGCAGGCATAAGCTTACAGCTACAGCCCAATGCTAAGAACACACACTGAACTGCACCTCCCTCTCCTTTGTTTCACAGTTTAGAAAAACAACTGACGCAAACACACAATGACTCGTTTTGTTTTGACAAGAATTTTAATGGTATGCTAGGCTAAGTGGCCGGCTCACAGGACTCATGTCACCTACTTAGCTTTCTAAATCCATCCATCGCCCATCTATAGCCAGTGACAGCACAGACTGCAAATTCTTACATTTGGCCTTTAAAATAATATTATACTAGGAGTATTTCCTTATCCTAAACAATCTGAAATGAGGCAAATATAAGGAAATTTAATGGGTGTGGGACAATTTATACTTTAATGTATCCTTTTCCAATACTGCTCCAAACAATTTGACTCAGTAGCGTCACTACTTCATAACTATTTCTGGTGGCAGTTGAAAGAATGAGGGAAGTATACAGGAGTTGCAGAGATGAAGAAACTCACAGCGGAAGGAGTAGGGCAAGAAAATGCATCCACCCATTTTCTGCTACTCATCCAGAGTCAGGTCACAGGGGCAGCAGCCTAGACAAAGAAACCCAGACCTCCCTCTCTCAACCACCTCCTACAGCTCATCCGGGGGAGCACAGGGACGTTCTTAAGACACCCAAGAGACACAATTTCTGTAGCATGTCCTGGGTTCAACCTGGGGCCTCCTCCCAGAAGGAAATGCCTGGAACACCTCACCCAGGAGGCATCCTAGCCAGATGCCAGAAAGACCTCAACTGGCTCTACTCCAAGCGCTTCACAAATGACTGAACTCTTCACCTTAATTCTAAGGAAGAGGGCAGGCTCTTCCTAGAAAGCTCATTTTCACCGTTTGTATCCTCAACCTCGTTCTTCCGATCACTACCTTGCTTGTGACCATAGGTGAGGATATGGATGTAGCTCATCTGCTTTGCTTTTATGTCCAGCTCTCTTCATCACAATGGACTGATACCACATCCACATCGCTGCATATGCAACCCCGATCCGTCAATCCCCCATTCCAGTCACTCGAGAACAAGACCCGAAAATACTTAAACTCCTCCACTTAGAGGACTGACTTGTCCCTGACCCAAAGTGGAGACTCCAGTCTTTTCTATCTGAGAACCATGGACTTTGAGGTGTTAACTCTCATTCCAGCCACACTCAGCAGTGAACCAGCTCCCCTGCTAGCTGGAGGCAACCACCTGATCAAGACAACAAAACCACATCACCTACGAAAAGCAGAGGCGAGATCCTGATACACCAAAGTGTAAGCCTTCCATCACTTAGCGCTGTTCATAAATATTTACAGTTGGATGTAATGCAGGATAAAAGTTTTTTATTTTTCACCTGTGGCCTGAGTGTCTGTGGAGAAGCAGGGACTGGTGAGATTTGGCCTGTATGTCGTATTCTACACCCTTCTTGCAGCTGTAAATAAACGCTGATTAGTGCATCCAATAGCACTCTTCCTCTCACCTCTCAATCATGGCCCATGTCTGCCCCTCCATTAGCCTGGCTCATCCATCAGCCTCTTCATGTTAAATTTAAATTCTTCGCTATTGCCAAATGTTTGCTAACAAGGATCACCGGATCCCTGGATTTCTAACTATAACTTTATACACAAACACTAAATGACTGAGCATGTTTTGGATCAAAACTTATAAACAAAATCTAACTGAGTCACCTGACAAAGGTCAAGTACAAGTGACAATGTTTTTGGAATGTAATTTAAAGGAAATGTGTAACGTCCCACCAAGAGAGCTCGAGGCACTTGTGAAATTGCTAAAATAGAGTGAATTTGTTCTTGTGACATGTGGTGGGTCAACATCTTACTAAAGGTATTTGAGCTTTGTTTTGTTTTTTGTTGTTGTTTGTTTGTTTTGGGGTTTTTTTGGGGGGGGGTCCATCTGTACGTGTAATGTAACAATTATAAAAATGAATCCCCCATTCCTCTTTACAAGGATTTTGCAAAAATTAGCCACAACATTATACCCCAGAGGTAACTTGAGAGAGAGAGGAGTCGGAATAAAAACTAACAAAACAAAAGAAAACCAAAATTCCCTGAAAAAGGATTATAATAGTATCTTAACCATTTCATGGTTCTCTATAGCATCTATGTGAAGTGTCCACATATGGAGTTGTGAATGTCAGATCTGTGCACTGTCTTCATAAGCCATGAAGTTATTCAACAGCCCCAAATGCAGGCTGCCACCATACAGTCGACAGAGCCAGTTCTTTGGAAATCACTGCTGTCTGTGGATACAGAGCATTCATGATCCAATCAGTTTAACATGCAGACAACCTCACGGGGTTGTTTAGAATCGATGGGGAAACATCTGAAGACAGGTATGCACTTATAAAACGTTGCATTTGTTACAGATGTGCTTGGGCACTATTTACAGTTTCCAGGTTGGCTAAACCTCAGGCTAGGTATAACTTAAGCTACAGACAGAAACGAAGTGTTAACGAATCTTAAATTGGAAACAAATCCATTAATCATTTCCTGTTTTTCAATTTAAGGGCTTCAGTGGGCATCCTAACCAAAGTGTGCTGATTAGACTGTTATGTCTCGAGTATGGCCCACATATGAAAATGACAGAAGGCAACACAATTCAACATTTAATTACATTAGAGCCATCAACAACAGTTCCAGTGTGACAGATTGCTTTTCATCGATTAAATAAATCCTTGTCAATGCTTATTTGACAACTACACAAAAGCTTCCCTTTCTGATTCATTTTGTAGCATAAGCACAGCTATAGCTCATATTGTCCTTGTTTTGGATTTCACTGTTGCCACTGCCAGCATCAAGTTTTGCACCATGACTTGCAAATCTCACCCTCTGTATGGAGGACAGACCTCCAGGCTGTATCCAGAGTACACATTTGCACTCAGCAGCATGTGAAAGCTTTCACAAATGCAACAAATTAAATTTTAAATGGAGCATTTGGGAGAATTTAATACCCGTTCCACCACAAATTCCCAAAGCGTGTTGATGCCGAACAAAAAACGTGTGGTGAAGGTGCCGATTACTGTGGTCACCAAGGAGAAGCTGGCTGTTCTGAAAGAGTTCTTTATAAGGAGGCTTTAACTAGTTAGTTAACCCTCTTGAGAAACTCTGCCAGTATAAACACACTGCACGCAGACTTGCTGAACAACACTGAAAGCTTAGTGAGAGCTCTTCCAGAGGGCCCCTAGCAAAGATTGTGTGGTTTATTACAACATTCATCATCTATGATAACACAGCTGACTGCGCTGACCTAATTACACACTGGTGTATGCTGGACAGAGCTCACACAAGGACATGAACAGGGGAAAAATACTCAACCTGTCCAAATATAATATTGACCGACTCAGACACAGTGTCTAAGAAACGACAAAGCTTATAAATGAGAGGTTGAATGTGTTTGGGCCAAGTTTCCATGTCCCAATTCTGGTTGTCTGATAGGAAGCTACTTTCCATAGCGGGAAACAGATGCTCTTCATGCAACTCCAAAAGGGAACAGGGTCTTCTCCCAGAAACAGACCAGGGATCTTTAGCTTGTTAGACAAATGTGCTAACCATTAATTTTGTGCAAAAGTAATGGAAATTGCTCCTCTGTTATTTTGTACATTCCCCTCTTTTGTTTTTAACACCTAATGTACAAAATTCATTGTAGTTCTACCAATTCATATGAAGATCTATAAAAAACAAAATTTACCTAAAGATTTCCTGATGAAGCTCAATTAGATTTTCAAATAATGCACCAATAATCAGTGTTCGTGTTTGTATATATATTTTTTTTCACATTAATTTCAAAAACATTACTTTTGAAGATCCAGCTAGAAAGCCCTTGATGTTAATTTTTCTTTTTAAATGTTAGGACAACTTGGCAAAGTCTCTCCTTTAGGTTTTCACCCCTAGTGTGATGAAAATAAAACATGCTTGCCTGAATATAGCATTACATTATGTAGCGTCCTACAACACAAGCTCTCCTTCTGTACCGACCTGATGTCACCTTTAGTTTCCCATGCTTTAGAAAAATCCTTATCTTAAATCTACAGATAAGGCACGGCTTAACCTAGTAACAGCAAACTGTCTGACAAGGCTTACATAACACATACCAGCTGTCTCTTAACATTGAACTTGCTGGTCTGTATTATAGAGAAATTACAAAGGAAAGATAAGTAACACTGTGCATCATATTTACAGTTACAGCATAGCCTGGTCTGTTTTTGGATGATCTAATTCAGGAAATAAGGTCATCATACAAAGTTGTTGCCCTGAAGGAGATTAGTCAAAAGAAGCAGTAAAGTTATGAAAGTCACCAAGTCATAATTCTCCTACACATGGAGAACTGGGCTCTGTTTCAAGTTCACTGTTAATGTGTACCACAGGCCATGGCAGATTTATGTGCTGACTTACATGAGCCTAAATGATTTGGTTCAGAGTTTCTGAATGAGCAAGCCGTGCTGCTGTTGTATCAGTGAAGCCTGAATCAAGATATGACTTCAGGGAATTGACGGACAGAGGCAGGACCATCGGACAGAACAAAGCGGATTAGTGTCAATGCTATGAAGGGACAGGGTCACTGAGTCGTTCTGCCGCCCAAGGGTGATGTTGGATCTGTAAACAGCTGATCTTGCCTTCAGCTGCATAAAGGCAGACGTTTTTGGGCCGAGCCCGTCACACATTATCAGACATTGTCCACGCTTCAGGTATTTCATGAATTTTGCTCATGGCAAAACATATCTACGAGCTCATTTTCCCTGAAACTGTTGGTGAAAGTTACCTGATAGGGGGGCGGTGGCTCCTGATCGGGATCAGCACCATCTCCGTAGCTGGCCCGGTCCGACTGAGATTCATGTAGCAAAGAAATGTCATCCGATGTGGGAGATTTCAGACAGTTTCCCATCTCCTCCCTCTTCAATCAAACTCTCCCCTCTGTCGTCTTCGCTTTACTAATTTCAAGGGTCACTTTCACAGACAATGGGAGAGGAGAAAAAGGCGTCGATGGGCGTTTTTTCCATACACAGCTGATGATTCTCCTTCCTAGACGACAGGAGGGCTGCCCAGTTTAACAACAACAAAACATCGCTCGGCTAGCTGCTAGCCACACAAAGAGCTAGCCTGCTAACACCAGCTAGCATTCGAAAGGGAACATCTAATCGCTTAGCTAAAAATAAATAAATTCGGAGCTGAAACAGCGAACTAGAATTGTGTGTTTATTGACGCATCGAAGGGAAGGAAAATTCAATACCCCTCAACGCAAATCACAACGCTAACAGCAGTTTTCCTGACGCGGACCTCTATGTCTGAAGGGGACTTTCCAGTTTGCAGACAGCAGCCGAACAACGAAAGCTGGTGATGTAGCAACACAAAGCACCGCCCCGCTGAAAAAGAACCAATGAGCTGTTACCTTCTTTGAGTAGGCTCTTTTAAGCAGCCCTTCGCTAAAAACATAAACACAGCCTTTGTGATAGCTTTGTAAGTGTATTTGTGTTATTCCTCTTGCTGACCACAAAGTAGTACTTGATCACCCACTTTTTAGTTTTTCTTGCGGCTGGATATTTAAATATTTAGAATAATTTAAAAAAAATTCTCTTTTGTGTGTTTTCGATAGATTATGACGTGTTATAATAGTCATGTTTTCGTATCCCTGACTGCCAGAGTCTCACACTTCAACAAAATAAGATGACTTTATCTAACAGATTAGATTATATAAGGACAACAGATGTACAGTCAAGTTCTTTGTTCTGTACCTAACACCACTTCACTCTGTAAACTCTGTTTTGTTATGCTTAAATGGCTAAAAGGAAAAACCAGACAACACAAAATTGGATTTGTAGTTGCTTTTCATCATGTTAAATTACAACGGAAACATTCAGTATGTACAGGAATGTCATTCCGTAATTTTGGTAGCCATGCCCAGTAAAATATGCAGATAATGCCACTACATTAGTTAGAATTTGACTGCAGTTGCAAACCCAAAGAGCAAAAAATGAAAATAATGTTATTTGAAAGTAAAACATGAGTGGTTTTGGGAAATTTCTGGAGAGCAGCTGCTGTTAGAACAATAAGAATGCATTTCCTTCACCATTAAAAAAAAAGAACTTCAAGCCATCTTAAATCCTAAACCGAACTCTAATCATGAATAAAACAACAGTGCTCTACTGCTCTAATTCCAACACTTGAGACAACATGTGAGTTCAGGTTTATTACTCACTATTGCAAGTACGCAACCTTTCCAATAACCTAACCACCAACCATGTTAGAGGTGACCCCTATTTATCCATAACCAGATTACTATATACAGGAAGTGATTACAACATCCAAGTGCTTCAATAGATGTTTCTGGGCAAGCATGTAATATACAAGAGCAGCAGAAGATGATCCTGAAGCAGGAAGACTGTGGTGGTTGCAATGCTTCTGAGCTCCTTCACCTACTAAAGATGCAGCAGGCGGACAAGCACGCAGCACTTTGCCGCTCGCCGTGAAAGGCCCATTTGTTCAAGCTCAAGTACTGCTGGAGGCCGTCCCACACACCAGGAGGGGAAAAGAAGGGAGTCTGCCTTTCTAAAAGACACATTCATCTGTCCTCTTAAAACGGGACAATTTGTGTAAAAGGTGCCATTTACAGTATATAAATGTCTTAGAGGAAGTCTTAGAGGCATTTTTTTCTTTTACTCTGGAGAGGTTGCATATCTGGCTGACTTCCAAAGCTCTGTGCAAAAAGCCATAAAATGCAACTATAAATAAAACAAGATTTTTGATTTGATCATCTCTTCAAAGGGAAACTCGGAGAGAGCTATCTCACAAAATACACGTGTGTCTACCACTGATGTAATATGTTTCAGAAAAAGGGGGAAAAGGAAAATGCGCAATAAAACACTCTCTCTCTGACAAACAGAATAAACCAAAGTTTAGTGTAAAAATTTAAACAACATATCATTTTTGATTATATTGCTGATCAGTAACCAATTACAAGGAATCTCCTAGTTCTCAGGGACTTAACAAAACATCACTGTGTGTCATTTTTATTTTTAAATAATCGCTCATTTATATTCTACACAAAAAATGGGAAACTCTGCAGCAGCCAGATCAAATGACTTGGAGAAGCTAGTGTCAGTCATTTCTGTAAAGGTTGTTTGGTACTCTGGCTCCATCAAATCGCAGACTCAGTACCCTGCACCGGGAATGTTCTACCCTCGGGGTATTAGCAGAGGCAACTTAGAATATACACCAAATAAATCTGATTGTGTTTTGTACTCCAGTGCACCACTTACAGGTGGCCACAGTGCTAGACAGACGACCCCGCTAGAAGCAATGTTTCATAAATATAGGCACATTTCATAATTAGTCTCCATTTTAAATCAGAAGGAAGTAAAGTTCATGAGGATCTCTGGAAGAGGGCAAATCCACCGAAGCCAGTCAGAGCTGCAGTTGCTTGGCACACATGAGGAAAAGCCTCTTCCCCTAGCCTCTTGATGAAAACTAACAAATTATTCCCTAATAATCAGGTCTGTCCTGGTCTGTGTGTTGGCATGATGAGACTGTAGGAGACAAATGCTGTCTTTCCTTAGTGTGCCGTCCTCTGTTTGTTATGGGCTGGAGGGCACATGGATACCATTCTCCCCGCTGCCTTTGGCCTTGTGCAAAGCAGCCTGTATACGAAAGTGTGTCCGTGATTCCATCGAGTAGTTTTTGTAATTTTGCCTGAAACAGAAAAAAAAGAAGATCAAGAAAGTTCAACCTGAACCCCAGAAATCCAAAGTTTATAGCAAAGTCGAGTAAACTTTATCTCGTATTCTAAAACACTCAAATCTGAGTGAAACCATGAAGATGACGTATTTCAAAACATCAAAAGTGGAGATTCTTAATGAAAGGTTTCATGTGTACAGTCATGTAAAAATGAACATTTTGGCTGGACTCTACGTAGTCATATAGATGACTACATGTTCCTAATCAAACAGATTAATTGATCATCAGCAAGTGTGACCTGGAGCATTCAAGTGTCTCATGGAAAAGCCCAGGAAAAGCACCCCAAAGTCAGACAATGCAATGCTGAGAGAGTCTCAGCATGTTTGTGACAAAGTTCATCACAGTACAATTAAAGATTGAAGAAGTATGGTTTGTTTGGAAGAATTGCCAGGAGGTAGAGCGTAGCAGCACGATTTATGTTTGTGGTCTGAATAAATTACAAGGATATCCTTTGGACAAAACAAGACCATACACAGCATATCAGCACACCCCATATTAACTGTCAAGCACGGTGGTGGAGGCCAGGGGTGATGATTTAAGCTCGTTTTGCAATGGGGAGTCATCTTCACACACAATAAAGGTAATTATGGAGGCTCCACAGGCTTCTGTGCTGGGATCAGTATTAATTCCATTTACATTATACATGCTTCCCTTAGTCCTTATTATTAGAAGGCATTACACATTTTCATTGCTATGCAGATGATACCCAGCGTTACCTATCCATGAAGCCAGATGACACACAACAGTTAGTTAAAGTGCAGGCATGCCTTAAAAACATAAAGGTTTGGGTGACCTCTAATTGCCCGCTTTCAAATTCAGATAAAACGTTTTTTGCACTTGGGCATAAATCTCAGAAATATGGTGTTTAAACTCTGGATGGCATCACCTGGTCCTCCCGTAACACTGCGATGAATGTTGGAGTCGTTTTTGACCAGCCTACGTCCTTCAACATCCATATTAAACAAATAAAGAGGAAAGCGTTCAGCTTTCAGGCGTCTTCTGTGAAATCAGCTCCAGTTTGGATTTGGGGAACAGACACCTTCTTTACTTTGAGACCACGCTTAAAACGTTCCTTTTTGATAAAGCTTATTTTTAGGACTGAATCGGGTGACCCTGAACCTTCCCTTTGTTACGCTGCCATTCAATTCAGTTATTGGTGCTACCAGCTAATGAATCATGGAGTATACTGTGAAAAGCGTTCTTTTTCACATGACTGCATAATGTACTGTTAACACTTGATTACACTACAACAAGAATGTGGGAGAGTATCTGATTCATACATATTCTATTAAGTACAGATGACTTAAATATGCTTTGCTGGTTCAAAGACTTACTTTGCTGTTTCTAGCAGTTTGATAGCGTCATCTTTTCTGCCTTGCTGCAGACACAGCAGGCCGTGTTCCAGCAGGGCATTGGGGACCAGGTAGTGGTCATACTTGATCTGAGTTTCACTGAAGACGAGAACAAAAATCAAATGTCAACCTGTTTTCACCAGAACACAACTGAAAGACTGAATCAGACGACTCTGTAACTGAAGCACTTTGAGGAAAGGCTCTTACTTGCAGAGGACGAGGGTAAAGTAGTGCTCTGCCTCCTCGTGGTGACCCAAGTGTTTGAGACACAGTCCCTTCAGGAGGCTCAGCAAACACTGATCATCTATGGAGAACTCCGTTCCTAAAAGTCGGCAGCAAACAGAAGACAGACTGGGTCATTCTGAACAAACAATCTCAATTATATCTACATCAACACCCGTCTCTAATATGTTTGGATTAATTTCTGTAATATAGCATTTATTTCAATCAGAATTGTCTTTGTAAATGTGCTTAATGGATTTACATACTTGGTAGACTTTCAAGTTGAGCCTGTGCCTCATCCAGTGTTTTCAGCATGCCTTCAGTTAAGTCTTTGTGTTTGCCAATGACTGTATAACCGTTCCAGATGTACATCATCTCCTAGAAGACAGACAAACACATGCACAAAATCATGCACGGCTAACAACCAATAATAATCTTTTACTACAGGTTGACAAAAAAAGCATTTTCTCTGCAGTGACACTCGGGATAATCACCTTTAGCACTATGGGCACAGATGTGCAAACTGCTGTGGCATTTGACAGGTTCAGCCATTCAAAACAGATCCATGCTACCTTAACTGTGCAATGTGCCCCACTGGTGAAATAACAACCCTCGATTACCTCTTTGCTAATGCTGCTATGGTCAGTCACTAGTTTCAGTGCTTATTTGACACGGCGTAATGTTTATTTAGTAAATTATGATCCTATTTAGGGTAGAATAGATGACACAGCAGGTTGATTTAGGGAGCGACTAACTTCTGATTCATACGTCACTACTTGTATGAATGTGCAGTCTCAGTCAGGTCAAGCAAATATGAAACCAACCAAAATTACAAAGTTGAGGTTTCAAAATTATAGTTCACAAGTTCACCTATTATATAAAGTCTGTGGGTAGAATAGCACAGCTGTCTGAGCTATGAGTCACACATATAAACTGTCCATTCTGATTGGCTGAACCAGTACATTCACGTTTTACAGGGCTGCACCGCAGGGTAAATAGGAGGCAAATGTCAAGTAAAGTCTTTGGCTTTACTTTAATTTAATTTATGTTTACTGGGCAACATGCAAGATGGCGTCATCCAGTGCTCACCAGCGGAGGAGCAGGAAGAGGTACGGGATTTTCTGCCAGGTAGCGGCGGGCTTTCCTGATAGCAAACTTCTCCGTTGGCAAAGACTTTCCTGCTATTTTCTGCTTGAGCCCTGGGACCTGCCTGAAATATGAGATGCATTTAGTAATTACATATCCTCCAGACAGTTTTAAAAGCCCAACAGTCTAATCAAATGTTTTATCATGGAGCACCGTTAATGGTGTGCTTTACCACAAAAAATTAGAATATCTGTGACACAAAAAGAGTTTAATGCCAAAAACACCAGTTTAATTTCTGTCATATTACTCCTCTGATACACCTTATAGAGTATTCTTAAATATTAGCTCATATTATTTACCAAGGACAGGCTCTTTGGGGAAGATACGATTATGACATTATTGATACTTTCACAGTGAGTCATCTCTGCTTTGCTGAGTAATTTCAGCAGCGTCTTAATTCCTACCTGAACAGACTAAGTGCTGTCTCCCCAAAGGTTAGGCAATCATCCTCAGTCAGCATACTGAGGTAGGCTGCTTTCATATATGCATAGGTAGCCTGAGGGAAGGAAAAACGTGGTTACTAATGAAATCTCATCCTTCCTTTGAAAATGAGATAAGGAGGGAAAAAAAGACAAAAATCAAAAGTTGGACATCCACATTTGTGGTGCTTTTATATGTTGGAAGGATTTTGGTTCTTGTGACCTGAGAACAGTTCATGTCTGTTTCTGCTAAAATAACTGCACAGTTTAGTTTGAACAGCCCCTGTGATGCATTTGCAGGCTGTCCGTGGTATATCCCATCTCTCATCCAGTGACAGCTGAGATACGCTCCAGCCCCCCGCGTGACCCTGAACTGGATAAGTAGTTAAGAAAATGGATAGATGGCTTTATTGACTCTTTGCAGTCTCCTGTGGCCCTTAATCATCTCTGCTTTCCTGAACTTTTGAAATGGAATTTGTAAAGAGTTTAATTAGAAGAGGAGACACAAACTCAACCTCATCGGGTAATAAAACTGAACTCCTAGTGCCTTTGCCAGATCTGAGTATATGGGAGGGTTGAGTCAAAAAGTAAAATCTGTGCCAAGACTGAAAAATAAATGGGAACCAAAGGTATATGAAATCAAAAAGTGTAGCACTACAGCTAAAGCCTCGGGAACAATGTAAATGTTTTGTTATGTTAAAATGGAGTGTATAGAGGAGCACCTTCAAAGCTCTGGGATAGCTCCCCTCTCACATTAAATATTCCTTTTCTAGTAAAAACTTTATGAAAAAATCTTAATATTTATTTTCTTGAAATTGTACTTAAGATTTAATGTATTATTTACCGTATTTAATCATATTTACATCAGAGGGAGAGCTCAGACTGAATAGTTAAAGAGGGAATGTGCAGAGGAGGGACAGCGGATAATCTGGGCAAATATGGAGCTGCCAGGCAGGAGGAAAAGAGGAAGACCACAGAGGAAGCTGGAGATAGGGAGAGATGGAGGCAGGCGATTCTCTATAGCGACCCCTACAGGCAGCAGCCGAAAGAAAAGAAAGTATTTAACTGTATTTCATTTGACTAAGAACCAGTCTGATCTGCATTCTATCCTGGTAATGTTGTTTTTAAGCATGTCATGTTTGTTTTATTTACAATGATTTTTGTTTTTTGCACCACGGTTGTTGTTTATTTATTTTTTATCTTGACTTCACTAACTTTTACATTTCTTTTATTACTTTGCCCGCTCAGATTCACATCCCACATTATGGTGGCCCACCTTGGACCATGAGTTCTCCTTGCTGAGCAGCTCAGCGTAGAAGTAGGCCATCTTCCAGTGCCTTTTGTAAGTGAAGCACCACATCAGCTCCCAGTAGCACATGTGATGGAACTGCTTCCACTGCTGCTGAGCCTCGCAGCACTCCTCAAAACGCTTGATAGCCTGGAAGAAAGGCACGTAAAGGTTGAGAATCGCTGTTTGTCAAACATATGCCACTAAATTATGATACCGATATGATATGTTTGCAGAAGAGATGATTTGACTTTATCAGTATTTTAGTTAAGGACATAAAACTGGCAATCAATGTTTAGAAAAACGAGCAAAATACAGAAAAAAATAGTTATGACCTTTATTCCACATGAGGTGATTTGGTAAGTATTTGAAAGAGCTTTTCATTCTGGTACTTCACATTTTCAACATTCAGGATTCAAGACTTTATTGTCATTATGTAAGGATTAAAAGATGAAGGCAATACTCTCTCACATGGTGCAAAAAACATAAATATACTGACATAAACAGAACTACAAAATACAAGATTTAAATACATTACTGATATGCATTAAAAACACACACACACACACACACACACACACACACACACACACACACACACACTTTCTCCAAGGGAAAATAAATTACTCACAGCATCCAGGTTGCCTTTGATCTCTTCTATCCGACCAGCAAAGAACAAAAAGATGGATCCCTGGATGAAGACAAACACAGTATGTTTGTGAGAATGACACAAACAATCATAGCAACATTTGCACACACAGTCATTCATCCTGACATACCTTGGGGTATTTTTTAAGATATGGCTCCAGCAGTTTTTCTGCATCCTCAACGTCTCCTTCTCCAGTGCCTTTGCGAGACAGAAGGAACCCAGCTCAGATTGCATCTTTTAGTGTTAATTTGCAGATGCGCGTGTGTGGGTGTGTTGCTCACCTAGTATGAAGCTCATGAACGTGTGATAACAGAGGAGAAGCATGTTGCACAGGAAGGACCTGAATGTACTTTCTACTGAGCCCTCTTGAAGCTGCTGGAGACCAAACTCCTATATAAACACACACAGTTTCACACATTTTCTGAGTCTGCATTAAGTCTTCATTTGTGGAAGATCTATCAGCCAATTAGCAGTAAAACCAGCACACAGAGAATACACTAAAGTAGTTATAGGAAAATCTTCTGTGTTTAGTCAGCGTGTTCTGGGGATAAAACAGCGTCTGCTTGTCTACCACTTCTCTGACTCACAAACTGGCCTGTGTGCAAAACACACAAGTACAAAATACAAGAAATGCAGTATTTGCATGTTCATAACCGGAAGATAAATCAGTCATGATGGTAATATTCAAAGGTCAACTGAGGTGCTGATGTGATGGCTTGATGTAGTTACAACTGGTGACCACAATTTAGAGAAATAGTCATTGCTCATTATTATCAAAGCAACCATCATTTCATTGATGGTTGCAAGTTTCATTTCACGTTTCCATGAAAAATAACACAACAAACTCATCTTAGTAGTGTGATGAGTTCTACCACAGATGCACTTACAGTTCTCGAAACACTTCTCAGTCTCTGATTCATAAAGAGGCATTTCAAACAGAGCGGAAGGGTGTATCGGCTCGCAACATATCTCCAGCCAAAGCTGTTAGAGAGCGCCATGTCAGAAGTCTGACTTCTCAGAAACACTTACCTTATTACCAGAGAAACCGACAAACTCCAGCAGCTTGAGTGTCCGAGTAGGCAACATGGAAATCATCTGCAGGAAGCAAACAAGCAGTGGAAATGAAAAGGTCAGAAACATAATTACAGAGCATTTCATTGTTATTACAGATGCTGAACAAACTATGTTGGATTTCTTGCAGCTATCGCCATGTTAGGCTGGAGCAGCTCTTAATTTATGCAGATCTTCTGCTCTTCTGGTGTCTTTTTTGTTAACCAAGCATCACAAAATTAAGTCAATCAATGAGGCACAAGTGCAAACTATTACTTACTAGATTAAAAGCTCCCACTCCCAGTTTCACGCCACCCTCAAAATGCCCATGGTTGTCACCATGAGTGTATCCGGAGGACTGCAGGACTGTGTGAAGCTCTCTGAGGGGGTTAAGATATAAGCAAATTAAGGGGAATAAGCTGCGATGAAGTCCTGATGGAAGAATAAAAGGTCTTCCAGGAAACAGGGATGGAAACATGGATATCCTGGAGATACTCACTTGTAAGTCTGGTAGCTGTTCCTCACTTTGATTCCTCCTTTGATAAAACTGATCATGTTTTCATCCTGAGCACGAATGAGTTTAAAAACACAAAACAGAAAATGAGTGATGGTGGCAAACACATCAGTAGCACTCGCTGCTGTAAGCCTCCTGACCTGAAGGAAGGTGAGCGCTGCCCTCTGCAGGAGACACTCGGCGTAACAAACTTCAGCATGGAGCTCCTCTGAAGTGAAATCGATTGTACCAGTTATCGTCAATCAAACACGGGCTCCAGCATAATGACCAAACACACACATGCACATGCAGAGGTACATGCAGAGGTACATGCAGAGGTACTACTTGGAGCAAACACTGAAACATTTAAACACTTACAAAGTCTAAACATTTTAATTATTTAGAATAATTTAATGATCATCTAATAACTTTAATCAATCAGTCTTTATTTATAAAGCACTTTTCATACAAAAAATGTAGCACAAAGTGCTTTACATAGTTAAAAG